GAGGACTGGGCACACACTTGAGAAACAACGTTACTGTTTCCATGGTTGGACAGGAAGGACTAGGGCACAGTCACTGAAACATCATGCCAAACCCAATGGGTGTCTTAGGAGTCCAGCTGCAAAGGCCACAGGGCGACAACTGGACCAGTAGCAAATGAGGTTTTGCATTGTGCAAATCTGCTGGACAAGGCCTCTTTGCAGTGTCAGCAACAAAGATGTCCCTCATCTTGAGGGCTACGTTGTACCTGCCCCAAGCCATGGTATGTCCCATCCCTTTAAGTACAAGTGACATTGGATCAGAAGGCTGAAGAAGTATTGACGTGATTGAATTCTGGTGCTGGGCAGGCATATTAAAAGTGCTGCAGACTTCCAGTAGAACCACTAAATCCGTCTTGGATGAATCAGGAAGGCTCCTTTGATGTGAGAACGACGAAACGTTATCTGACATCCTTTGGACGGGTTTTAGTGGAGACCAGGGCTTGGTAAAACAGTCGGCAAAAAGAACGCCCTCGATGAGGTGCACTGACACAGCAGTGCCTTAGATCACGGCAGGTGGTAGGATGGTCCAGGGCCAGGCAGTTTTCACTCTTGTACACATGTTCGCTACAAGTTTCATCTGACTTGATGGTATCTAACATCAGCAAGAAGAGACCGATCAGCATGCCTATTTCGGGGGAAATTAAGAACCCCAAACCCCACAATATCCCTAATCACACTCAAGTAGAATTTTACTGAACCCAATGAAACAATAATTGCAGAAGTACATGGACAGGGAACTGCCACACTTCTAAAACAGGAGGTGAAACTGGCAATAGCTTTGCTAGAGGTAGATGGATCTTGGCTGAGAGCAAAGAAGGTCAGGAAAATGTTTGTTGTTGTGGGGGGTCATCGGGTTGCTTCTGACTCATAGTGCCTCTTTGTACAGCAGAGTGAGATGCTGCTGGGTCTCATTCTTATATTCGAGCCCATTGTTACAGCCACGGAATCAACCTAGCTCATCACGGGCCTTCCTCTTTTTCTCCGCCCCATCACGTACCAACCATGATGCCCTTTTCCATCCCCTGGTCTCTTTCCAGGGGCTAGCTGACACTAAAATCAGAGCTAAGGGGAGAACAGGGTTGAAATCATTGAGAATGTCCACAACTCTCATCTCCATGGAGGGGTGGGGCATGAGGTGTGTGTGTGTGTGTGTGTGTGTGTGTGTGTGTGTGTGTGTGTGTGTGAAGGTAGGTGACTGGCTCGTTTGTAACTATCTTCCTGCGATAGAAGCTTGAGAAGGTTTTATGGCTTCTTTGGACCAAGGCAATTAGTAAGCGCAAATTATGACGTGAAATTAGAATTTGCGCTATGTGAACGGTGCTATTACATCCTTCTGTTGGATGCAAGGGGCTCTCTAAAGGGTCAGGTTGTTTCCTGTCTTTGAAATCTCACGCATACATCACAGTTTGGTTTCGTACTTCCTTGGTGCTGAAAGTGTTTTTGCTCTCTGCTGCCTTTATGGGGGGGGGGGAGGTGTGCGGAGTGGGGAATGGGTTTTGTTCAGTATTTCTCCAACACCGACCACCCAGAGCAGCACACCGCCTGGTTTTCACATCATGAACGCTCAGCATATAATTGTGAAATTAAGGAAAGTCGTGAAACAGCACTGAGAAGTTATGCGCTACTCTAATTGCCTGACTACCTATAGAAATACCTGCCCCCCATCCCAACCCCAAATCTGGGTTCTCCTTGAGGAGTTGTGTGTCCACTTGGCGTGTTACCGCATGTTTCTTACTGGTCTCAGGCTCTCCGTATGTGGAAG